AGATCTTGTGTGAACCGACGTTTCGAAGGAACATCGGTTCACCCAGGATCTACCCGGCGCCACATCCCAGAAGACGACGTTCTTCATAGTCACCCCTGAAAACCCCAAATCTTACAAATATTTATATGTTTCATTTTAGTTTTATTCCAAATTTATTTATATTTAAGTTTAGATTTAATTATTCACTAATCATCCCAATATGCAAGAGTATATACTCTGAGCTGTTAAAAGCGTCTTTAAATAAATTGTAAATGAATGAATGAACACAATTAACTTACCAATATTATCCTTTTTTCTTTTATTTCCCTTCTCTTAACTTCCTTTTCGTTTCCTTTCTTTCTTGTCTCTTTTATATTCCTTTATATCCTCTATTTCTTTTTTCGTTCTTTTCTTATCTCTGTCTCTCTGGTATATACAGTACATACTTGTCCGAAACTGTTGACACTGATTTATATTAAATACGAAAGTTACGTAGATCTTGGATCGAAAAACGTTCTAAGCAAAATCCATACAATTTTACAAGTAGGTACCATCTCTGTTGCATTTAAACTACCGTTTCTTTACTAATGAATATCTGTCAGTTTTCTTGAATGGCATAACATGTCAGTATGTTTAGTTTCTCCAAACTGGAAGGAAGCTATTCCCGCCATATTAGATCCATCTTCACAATTACTAGTAAAGGAATGGGTTTATTGTTAACTGTAGACAGCCGAAATTTTCCTGGTATTCTTTTATAGATTAAAAGTATACATAAATAAATGAGGTATCCTCCTCTTAACACACATTAAGACACTCTTCCTTCGGAGGTATGGGCTCATTGCGTGGATCCACGTCGCGTAACTCCTGTTTAGAAGTTTACATTTGCTTAGCCGCCCAAAAAAATAACACGCTCTTCAAGCTCAGAAAGTTCTTTATAGATTTTACAAATGATTTTCACTGGGCCCTATCCTGAGCCACTTAGTCCAGTCCCCAACTTAACGTATTACGCCTCGTAAGGACAATTTTCTTATTACCCTCACATCTAAGCCGAGATCTGTGGGAAATTTCAGATCAGAATGTTGCATGTATGCTTCTTCATTTCTCCCACACGCCCTACATGCACTGTGTACTCTTTCCATGTTACGTCACCCTCACAATAATAGGTAAATGGAATCTGTGTTTTACACATTCGAGCGACAGGTAAATACAATTAATTCCTTCGAGTTGAATTTTGCTGTTCAGAGTTCCCATGACAATGGTTATACACAGGTATAACTCGAGTTTATGGGTCTGTTTGGTCTAAAAATATAAAAAACACTAATATGAAAGTGTTGCATATCCTAAATAAGAAGTGAAATTTGCACCTTGATTCACAGAAGAAAAGAACAGTTGTGTTCATTTGGATATGTCACACAACCTGAAGGAAGTGAAGACACCTTCCAACAAGATGGTGTACCCCCATATTTGAGCAACATCGTGCGGCAGTCTTGAGTACCCAGTTTCAGTAGAAGCGGACGGGTAGAGGAGAACCAATTTACTAAACTCAACCCCTCGTTCATCCGATCTTAGACCATGTGATCCTTAAAGGGCAAAGCGCACTCTTGGAAAAGGACATCACTTCAACGGTCAAGAAAAAACATCGGAGGCTCCAGCTAAATTTGCCCAAGAAACTTCGGGATGCATGTGGCAACAATTGAATTACAGATCGAATATATTCCAAAGAGTAAATGGAACTTATATCGAAGCACTCCACCCAGAAATATTGAGCACTTATTCACATTTGTGAATCGTAATATGATTTTTATGTTTATCTCATTCAATAAATATTTAAATTTTACGTAATGTCTTTAATTTACGGATACTGTATAATTCTTGCTCTTGGAAAAATACTTTTAATGGAGATGTGGTAATATGAAAGTTATCACAAAATTTTAATTGGTGGAGTAGCCGAGGATTCACTACAGGTAAACGAAAGTAGAAAATAAGATATAAACGTTTGTGGCGATGGTGTATTATTTCAGTTATTGTGTTTCTGGACATTAATCCATCGTCCTATTTTTATTTAAGATGGGCCCAACTGAATAGGTTCCACCTGAAGACGAAGATAGAATCCAGCCTCCGAAACGTTGTGTTTTAAAAGAAAACAGTAAGCTATATAATGTCCAAAAACACAATAGTTTCATGAAAAGTAGAAAAGTCAGACATGAGAAACCTCCTCGAGTGAAACTGAACTCGGTCTGCCAGAAATCAAAGTCCTTCATACAGGAATTAAACGAAGGAATCAGCTGTGTTTATTGATCGCTCGAAGTTGCACGCTACTGAATGCCTGTCACTTGCATCGTTTGTCACTTCTCTGTTATAGCAGCACTATCGCGTGCCCACTCGTAAATCATCCCCTTTCTCTCTTCAGTATACTTTCATAACATCGCATCGACTTATACAATTTTTTTTGTCTCTCTTTTACCACCGCATCCCTTTTACATCCTACCATTTCTCATTCCACCACTTTCCTTCACTATTTCTTTCCGAACATCTCCATTGTCGTACTCGAACACGAACGATCGTCTGAATTTGCTTCCACGTTCGGACATACCTTTCTCTTTACACACACATGTATATATATATACACTCCTAAATTCATGCACGAAAACATGCGCACGAATGAAAATATACATGCACGCATGCGTCTAAACACACACGCATCATGCATATACAAACAAATATATACATATACGTATCTATACACATGCATTCATACGTAATACATAATTTGTTCACATATAAACCCAACAATTCTCGAATCACATGTCTTCTAATGTCCGCTGCTATGCGATTTTCCTTTTCCAAACTTGAAACACCCCCGATCTAACTGAAATATAACTCACGAATCCTCATCTCTTGATACATCCATGTGTTTGGTTACCTCACTCGTCATGTGACACCACACTGTTTCGGTATACCGTAATATCCTTCTTCGTGTGGCGGCGATAAATAACTTCTTGCGTTCATCTCTACCGGCGGTGACCTGAACTCTGTTTCCTCATTTCCTCACTCCTTACCCTGCACTGCCTGCCATGAACCGCGCTCACGCACCTGGCCATGTTTCTTATGTTCTAATTGCACAATCTTCCGCAAATGTACTCCGTGTCTTCTTTACACGCACATCACTTTCTGACATGTTCGCTTTCTTCGTTCTCAATCGCACCACAACTTCATGTTTAAATTTTTTCACATTACATTGGCATTTATGCTTTGTATGATGCTGTCCATCATTAATATGCTTCTTATTCCTATTAAAATATTACAATCATTTTATCGGAATTTGTCACTGACACTGCTTTATAATTTTTTTTTTTAATTTCATTTCTCCAACCGAGGTACGATTTTATAATTTTCAATTTTTATGCTCCAAAAACTGCTCTCACTAATATTCCACGCCTTAAATTTCAACATCATGACGACGTACTCATGAATGAAAAACAAATATTGTGTAATATCTTCTCATTATGCATCCGCTATATATTTCTTATTTTGGTGGCGTAATCATGATCTTTCAAAACATAACAAAATCTTCACACAAAACTCTGCAATTGTGTGAACTGCATTACCACGTCCCTGCCTCGGTCCTCTCCTTAACTTTCGCTCCTGAACCTACCACGTCTAGCCTGTACAGTCAGCCAGCCAGTCAGTACAGGAAGAGCGAGTCCACAGTCAGCGAGACTACGACGACAACACTGGTCGGCGGCAACAATGTCAACAACGGCGCCGGTGTGTCCGCTAAGGTGTCCAACGGAGGGGGGTCCACTCTGAGAGCTACGTCTGTGAGTCCCTTGCTAATGTCTGAGAACACCGTGTGAAAGGTTTGCCATATCCCACTCCCATACAAACACGTTTTATTACTGTGTGATGAAGTGGCTGGTGTGTTGGAACCTGCAGGTTGTCCATAAGGACGTCGAACGCTTCGGGGACCGGCGTCTGCTTACCTGTGACGGCAACCATCACGACGCCCACATATGGCCCAAACCTCACTGTCGAGAATGCGGTCTGAAGGAGTGGCTTGGATTCTGCTTTCAGTCGACCATATATGCTCAAGATAAATTTCAGCAATTTATATTATATACACTGTTAACTGGTGGACAAGTGATTTTCTTATAATGTGACAGGTTACAATCAATCCACTTGTATGCATTGATGTAAGTTACATCACGTGATAGCTTCCTCGAATGTTTTGGCTTTTATGCTTCCATATGCTTAAGTGACGTTCCTTTTTACCTTAGATATATTAGCGATTTTGTCTTTAGTTAAGCGGGAACAAGCTGCTTTGTAGCGGGATTGCACTAACACGTAAGGTTTGATTTATTAAATATGGGCAGTTATACATCTGGCTACGTAGCAGACAGTAAAGAAGTGAAAGAGCTAATCCTTCCCAATTCAATTCTTGTAACAAACGCGTAATCATACGTATGAATATATGGCATTGCAGATACCCGGCCATTTTGTCTTTTCAGTGTGACATTACGTCGAAAAATGGAAATACTATCTATCGAACCTTCGGAAGAATTTTTGTCTACTTTTCATGGCATTCTGAAATACTCGTAGTAAATTTCTATATATTCGCTTGTTTTTTTTCATGACACGAAAAATGAGTCATGTAGAGTCTATTGTTGAGTCGATATAATTAAATCCTTAAAGGAAAACATCGCTTTGAATTCCCAATCAAAGATGGAAGAATGGTATTCAAATTGATCTCAAAGACGTATGATTTGAAGCTGCGTGCTGACAAGTAAGAGAGGGTATGAAGTGTATAGATTGGAATGTTAACACATTAGCAACGAAAAATAGATTACGTGTATACGTATATGCAATGATCCATTTTCCTGTACGTTTTATGAGGATCTCCTCTTACTTGTCATATTTAAGCAACCATGTTCTATAACATCCTGCGAAATGATGCATCTGCCTGATGCAATACAGTTCTCCTGAGGAAATAACTGTACTCATTCAACGTGTCTCAAGGCATGAACTTTCCAAACATTTTTTCCATCTTTCCGTTACTAAATAGATAATTAATTGACGTCAGTTATCAATGTTTTGGGTTGACTTGAAAGAATTCTGACGATGGTGTATACTGTACTTCTTTTGGCTTGTTTTGGACTTCATCCATCGTCTGGTATGTAAAAGACAAAAGACCACGACGTTTCGGAGACTGGATCTGCCTCCGTCTTCAGGTAGGTAGGGAAAGATAAACCTACTCAGTTGGCCCCGTTAGAAAGAGCTAGTTTCAATCACTGGACAATCGTGATCTTTTGTCTTTTACATACAAGACGAGGGATGAAGTCCAGAACAAGCTAAAAGAAGTACAGTGTTTTGGGTTGAATGTAACAAAGCATTGTCCTTCTTATAAACAGCTTCGTCTCATTTTAAACGGAACAATCATCGCCGTATGGAGAGACTTGCCGATATTTCAGGGACAGTTACCATAGCAGACCCAATCAACGGTATCAAATAATGACAGGGATACACAGTAATCTTACATACATCATATGTACTAAGGCTACTTCTACGACGTCATGCTCCGTTTGCCAGGTTTTCTGTGCCTTAGCAGATTTAAAGCATACTTGTATGTGGTAGCATTCAATATCAAATCCATCACTTAATATAAAATGCTACAAAAATTTGTCTAAGATGGGCCTACAGTTCTTAGATTGATTTCACTATAACAAAACAAAGTTATATATACACAGTGTGGAATGTAAAATATATGCATAAATAAGAAATGTACCGGGTTAGCTCAGTCAGCAAAGTAGCTATGAAATTGGCTTGGGTTAGATTCTCGGAAGGAGCAGGAATTCATTTCTTCGCCACGAACTTCTGGTCTGTCTGGCCAATGATTGCTCTGCCGTCAGCCCAGCCATGTCTCGAATGCTTACAGTCGCCTGTTTCCTCTGGGGTAAAGCGACAGGGCAGTTGACCACTCACCTTCATGTAGTGCCGGAGTAATGAATCTTTGCAATTTTACCTGCATTTCTCGCCTGTCTTCAAGGCGGAACTGAGTTCTTTATATCTCCTGTAAACCAAAAAAAAAAAAATGTAAATTCAAACATAAATTGAAAAAAAAATTTTAGCAGAAAGAAATTGCTCTAAACAGAAGTCACCACATAAGGAGTCAGAAAATTATTATACAGAGTGTAACTGAAAGGTGCGAACAAACTTTAGGCACGGTGTCCTGAAACATTTAATTTCTGAGATATAACTGAAAGAGTTCATTTATAATAATTAAAGAAAGTATACTGCATGAATGGCGGCACTCGGTAGCGTAGTTGATTGAGGCACTATGCATACAAGCCGTAAGGTCACCGATTCGATTCCTGATGAGGTCATTCGATTTTTCAGTTGACCAAATCCTTCCAGCCGCAAAATGGCCCTGGGGTTGACTCAGCGTCTATCAAAATTGAGTTCCAGGAATCTTCCTGGGGGTAAAGGGCGGCCGGCACGCAAGGCTGACAACCTCACCGCCATCTCTGAGCCGATTGTCTATCCAATATGAGAGCCTCGACGTCTCACAACCCTGTGGACCTCTACGACCTGTTTCAGGGATAGCTTTGCCTTTTTTACCTTATCCTCCATGAATTAACGTGTGGGCAGGATTGTTGGTGATAATTTGGTAGGACCGTGTGTTTGGCACATCGGCTTACATACAACCACTACCGAGACATCCTCTCACATGATCTGTCAAGGCTACTGGAAGACGTACCAGTCGCTGTCAGAGCACGAATGTGGTACGTGCATGATGGCGCTCCAGCACATTTTAGCCGTGCTGTGCGAGATGTTCTCAGTAACAAATATCATCAACGTTTGCGGCGGTCCATGATGAGACTGTCGAGGCGTGTACTGAATCTCATGGAGAACATTTTGAGAATTTGTTCTGCTATAAATCTCAAATTAAATATATCCGGACACATGTTGATATGAGTATTCTTTCCTTGTTTTGGTATGTGGAACTCGTGCCCAGGATTCGTCCGAAACTCTCAGTCATATCCTGTTTTCGTGATTTAGCTTAATGACATTTGTGAACTATAAAAATTATAAAGAAGGAATTAAAATTTAGAATTATGGAATATTCTGGCAAAACTTTAATTAAAACGTCTATGTATCCACAGTCCGTCAATAATGCAACAGTTGTTTATTCACCATTCAACACTTAACACAACGTGTTTAGATGTGTAACAGTTTCGATACATTAAGACACCGGAAGATGGCCATCTGGCAGAAACATGTTGTGTTAAGTGTTGAATGGTGAATAAACAATTGTTGCATTGACGGACTGTGGATACATAGACGTTTTAATTATGGAATACTGTTAGAAGGAAACCATTGCAGTAACTGGTGCGAAAGGGACAGCTGCAGAGAAGAGATGCAATATTTTTGGGAATTTATTTCTGCTCAAAGTAAATCATATACCCGAAAAATATTTGAAATTGTCCTCTTATATTTCACGTATACCGTTAATGACGAGATGACAGAGAACTTTTTAGGTTATGTTTCACCGTGAGAGACTTAACCACACTTAACAAATTAATTTTTTCAGTAATAAATAGCAATTAGAAACTCACCTGCAAAGTTAAAAAAGAAAATGTAATTTCTTTCGTGACACTACGTGTATATAACCCACATTGACGCGTGCAATATATCTCTAAGTGTTCCTTTAGTTAGTGTGTTTGTCACATGACGGTGCGGTGGTCTAGTAATCAAATTCTTTGTTGAATATTAATTGCCCTGGCGATAGGATTGACTGTGGTGTCACAATACCATGACCGCTGTGGTAACCTGGCTACAACCCCTTTGATTTCTTATGAAGAATGCTATATACCCCCTATGTTAAAATATTTTAGAGCGCTGAAGATTTCGGGATGCCGATCACAGTGGCCGTACGGTCTAAGACATGAACCGTCTTCGCCGGCTCAAACACTGGGGTCGTGGGTTCGAATCCATCTCAAGGTACGGATGTCTGTGTGCGTTTATTCTGTGTTTGCTTTGTCCTCTGTGTAGGCAGCGGTATTGCGATGGGCTGATCCCCCGTCCAGGAAGTCTTCCCGACTGTATATGGATTATGAAACTAAAAAAAAGCGGCCAAAGCCCAACGAAGGGCTGAAAAGCCATAAAAGAAAAGAAAGGAAATTCGGACTGAACAAATCGTAGGCGTTTATAAAATGTACGGAAGCTTACGTAGACAGGATGTGCGCAGAACTGAATGACGGCAGAGACATCTGCCGTGTTGAGGAAAGGGCAGGCACAGAGCACTTGTCAAGTAACGCAATGACGTACTCTCATTTCGTTTACGTTTCGAATCCTATGTCCTTTAGTTAAACAAGGGATACACGTATAACTAACTAAACTAACTCCATTGAGGTCATTCCTTCTAGAAAAGCAAACAGGTATTTAGTTACTCAGGAATTTCCCAACATGTTATGGAGCCTGAAGATTCATCGCACCCTTCACAAAAGCCCGCCACTGGTCCTTATACTGAGCCAGATCTGTGAAGTCCACGTATCCACACGCCATTTATCTAAGATCAGTTTTAACGTTGTCCTCTCACACTTGTCAGTGTCTTTCTAGTAGTCTATTTCCTTCTAGCGTTCCCGCCAAAAGCGTATACGAATTTCTCCTCTCCCCATGCGTGCTACATGCGTTGCCCATCTCATCATAACTTACTTGACCATTCTAATTATATTTGACGAAAGGTACAGGTTACAAAGCTCCCCTCTATGCAGCTTTCTCTTACATATTATTGCATTCCTCTTCGGTCCAAAAATTCTCCTCAGCGCCCTGTTCTCAAAAATCACCTGTCTCTGTTCTTTACTTAATGTCAGAGACCAAGTTTCACAACCATACAGAACCACAAGAAAAGTTAGAGTTTTGTAAATTCTAATTTTTACGATTTTAGACGGCAGACGAGAAGACAATATTTCTGGGTTGAATGGTAGCAAGCATTGCCCGAATTCAATGTTCCCTTAATTTCCCCATAAATCATTGTAACTGTCGTTCCAAATATTTTAACTGTGCCACATTCTCAAAGGATCTATTAACTATCTTTGTGTCATGATTTTGGCCTGTATTTTGGCGACGAGACATCAACAAATACTTAGTTTTCCCTGTGTTTAGTTCTGCATCAACCTCCTAACTAGTGTCAAAGTTTCTGTTTTTTTACGGTATTTATGTGAACTCCCGATAGATTTACATTATCAACATGTACCATCAGTTAATTTGTCCCGATCAGCTGCAGTCCCGTCTGGTTCTCTTGGACCTTCCTAATGGCGTACTTTAAATCAACATTGAAAAGCATAGATAGAAAGCCTCTCTTTCTTTTAGAGGGTTTTAATATAAAACATATCAGGCAACTGAAGAAAGCAGTCTTCTGGGATGTGGCACCGTGTGGATGTGGTGTTAACACCACATCCACACGGTGCAACTGCTTTCTTCATAGTCACCGCCGAGAAAACCTCAAATATTACATATCAGGTAACTCTTTATCTGCACGGACTTTACTTACTTACTTACTCATGGAGCTGAGCCCTTCTTGAGGAGCCGCCAATTCTGCAGCTACTCAAGGATTTCCCAGCCTTTTATGGAACCCGAAGGTTCATCACAGTGTTCACAAGAGCCCTCCACTGGTTCCTATCCTGAACCAGATCTATCCAATCCATACCATCCAATCCTATCTCTCTAAGATCCATTCTAATATTGTCCGCCCACCTACGCCTTGGTCTTCCCTGTGGTCTCTTTCCTTCTGACTTTCCCACCAATATCCTATACGCATTCCTCGTCTCCCCCATTCGTGCTACATGACCTGCCCACCTCACCCTCCTTAACTTGATCATTCTAAATATACTTGGAAAAGAGTACAAGTTATGAAGCACGGACTTTAATAAGTATAATAAGATGTGTGGGTACCCCGAGCTAGTGACAGTAAGGTAAGGCTCAGACATAATACTTCTCTCATTTAGGAAGTGTGGTTATTTCTTTAATGAAGTGGACCAATTTAAATCACGTATTTTGGGGGCATTCCCAGTTTATATGTGACCAACTATGAAGTATGACGTAGAAATCTAAACGGTGTAAGTAACATTCTGAGTATTAAAATGAAGTTAAATACAGAATGTATCACGTGAGATGCAAATGC